ATTACCAAGTGATTAAGTCTCTATTGTTTAGATGGATAAAAGAAAGCCTACAGGATTAAGTAGTACAGTATATCCATGGAGGAAATATATTTCCTCCATTGTATATCGTAACAAGAACTTGCGTCTATGTCTACATGAACTGAATAATTCGTTCCTTTGACTTAGAGTACAAATTTCGGGTTGACATATAATAAAACACTCCTCTTGTATACAAAGGGTACATCGTTTGGTAGAGTTGTCAAGCACCTCGAGGTTGGTCCAACCGGAGGCGCTACACAAATTGCAAATTATTATTATTATTACTTGAGACATCAAGGCTGTCAACAGAAACGGAACTAAAAAAGATTTTAAAAAAAACCACCAAAAGCAAAAGAAAATTAACCGAGTGCGTAAAGGATGATGATGATAATGATGCTGATATTGAAAGTTTTGATTGTAGTGATTCAGATGTTTCAGTTAATGAGGTATATTGAAGACTGGGACAATGACAAAGAGCCAGAAAAGGGTGACTATGTGTTAGTAAGACTGACCACGTTACTTTCTAGGAATTATTACTACTATGTTGGTCAAGTGATTGATTTTGATGAAACAAATTCTTTCATCATATCCTTCTACCGGCAGAGTAGGAAAGCCTCAGGGAAATTTGAGAAGCCAGTCAATGATGATATTTCGCAAGTAGATAAATGTGATATTGTTATGTGTCTTCCACAACCCATAAATGCAGGTGGCACAAAACGTGTTGCATCAATGATGTGCTTCCCTGTTAATCTAGAGAAGTACAAGTGTCGGTAAAAAATGCAAAGAAATGTTTTTTTAATGTAAATGTTAGATTACAGGATTAATTGATGTGAATGTTTATGCTTCAATTTCTGAGACAACATTCTGACACCTCACAAAGGGCGGAATAATGTCTGAGCCATTTTCACACAAACAACCACATCCTTGCCTGCAACACCTGTTTAAAACAAGAATAATTCTGAAAAAAACATTGTTGAAAAATAAATTGCAGTAAAATGCAATAATTATGAAATGCAGCTCGTCTTCTTGTCTGTTTTGACGTATGGTTCAATGTACCCTGGTAGATGGTTCAACCTACCCCGGACCAGGGGGCAGGTTGAACCTTTTGACGTAACTTTTTTTACGAAGAGTATGACCTTTTTGAACTCATGTGACAAAAAACATTCTTCCTTGTGGCAAAAAGAAAAGCACCCCAACCCCTTCTACTTTCTCTATGGCAACGAGAAGCATAAAAAAGCCTATCACTTCAATTGATTTCGGGGGCCATCCCGAAAGAATTTCTAGAGAGAAAAAAACAATCTCTAAACTTGCAATAATCTCTTCTTTCAGCATTTTCCACCACAAAGATGAACCCACTTGGACCGATCCACCTTACTTAAGATTTAAATAAACCTTTGCATTTCTGACTTAAGTAATGCAGTGGGAATCCTCAGAGGCTAAATGTGCAACTTATTGGTGACGTTTTTGTCTGTCTTCCTCTGCTCTTTGTCTTCTTCTCCATTTTGTTTTTGTCATTGTTTGGGCTCTGCCCCTCCCTTGCGCATGAAAAATAAAAGGAAACATATAAATACTCCCTAGACAAGTGACAAAGTATATTCAGAGGAATGTTTCCTTTTATTTTTCAAAATCACAATTTATACATTTTTTTTATATTTTTATATTATATTTAAAAAAAAAATTTTTTTGATATCAAATAAAAGTCTTACTACCTACTCTACATTCCATGTACAGAATGGGAATTTTGAAACATGTGGGGTTTAAATTGTTATGATCTAGGCACAGTTATTTCATCAAATCCTATTTTTGCATTGATGGACCCTGATTATTCTAAGAGTTTAACAAAACGCTTAATTGAGGAATCTGTTATGGATTTTCAATAGAGGATACAAACATGACAGGGTATTCTACTTCAGTAGCATGGAATTATGAAGTCGATTGCAAAGAGCAGAATAGTAATGAAGAGAAATTTGATGATCCTACAGTTTTAATTTCTGGTGTCGTGGGTTGGTTAACGGGCCAGAGACACCAGCACATGTGTATTTGTAAAGTGGTTAAAGTCCCAATTTTTTATTTTGTGAAATATAAATAGAAGTGCTTCTTTTTAATCCATTGGTTTCCGTTTACGAATTTTCATGTCAACAAGCATTTTTTTTATGTTTTGTTTTTGATGGTAGTTTTGTGATCTATAGGGCCTGTAAAGAATCTCCTAGTATATGTTTTAAGAAAATTGGTGGTGCTATTGAGTAGTGCTATTTGGTGGCGCTATATTTCCTGTTAGCGCGTTAGTAGCGGCATGTTTGTGAAGAAGAGTGTACCTTCACTTCTGTTACTCATGATAAATTTGCAAATGTTGCATATTTGGGGTATGTTATTTTTATGTATTTGATTAGTATTAGTTTAAGAAAACATTTTAGACATTTTAGAACGTTATTGTTAATTTTTACTTATGTCAGTGCGAAACCTCAGTGAAAATTTACATGTTATAATCTAAGCCTCCACTGACCATTGTGTATGAAGGCGTGATAAGGTTACATGTTAATGCTTTGTGCGTAGCCCAGCGGCCTTCGGTGTGTTATAAACCGACCTTAGTGTCATATTGCAAATCACTTGATACAGTAATAATTTCAAGGTTTTACCCCTTTGGTACATGTAACAATTATGTTCCTAAGATTACAGTATGGTATATACATGTAATATGTTGAATTTAATTCATTAAATATTACTGTTAATTATAGTGTAGTAAAGTAATTGTATTAAGTAATTTATATTGTGTTAACTATACTTGTTTTTCAGTCAACTTTGTAAATTTACGAAGTAGTCAAAGTTGTTGACTTACGAAAATTGAAGACTTGAGTGCGAGTTTGTTGCGCCAAAATTCATGTAAGTCTTGTTTTAAATAATGAATAAATAGTTCATTCGTATACTCTGCCTGTAGATAAAGTGTATTTCGATTTACAATTTATCAGATTCATAATTATCACTTTGCTACCAATATATCATACCTTATTATTGTACTGATCTAGACTATGTTGTATTGAAAGTTGACATGTTATTACGATTTAAACGTAGAAGTCAAGTGATCATCACTGATTTTATATTCTGTATTTCTTTAGTCACCAGACTATTTACATCTTGCGTTGGCAGTTTTGAATAAAGTTTCAAAGTTACTGCATTGAAGTGTATTGGTTTGCGTTGTTGTGTTGGTGCCCTCATCGTTAGTAAACTCGACAAGTCAGTCAATTTACAGGGCCTACACTATAAAACTTGTTTTCCTTACATTGCAACGACAACAAACGCTGTCAAATTGTTTTATTTATTTTAGTTTATTTAGTTCATGCCTTTTATTTTTAGGTTTTATTAAGGGTTGACATTCTCCCTTGTGGGAAATTTCCTTGTATGATACGTTTGCCGCTTTTTAACTTAAAAGTTGTAATGAAGCCGTGTTAGTCTAAACAATATACACAGATTATAAAAGGCAGCACTCTGAGACTAACTTTGATGTAATTTATTCAACACAAGCTTTCGCTGGCAGTAAATGCCAGCTTCATCAGGTGTGTGCTTTTTAGCTTAAGTCAGCTATCCTTGTTTGTATAAACGTTGATTGAACTACGATTGCCTAATTCGAGATTGGAATAGAATATAACGATGTTCAGTGAGACTTCTTGAGTGTACATGGGCACTCTCGCGTACCTACTTTTGGGGGAATGGCCATCCTTCATTAGTAATCCGTAAGGATAATTTTGTAATTGGTTGTCTCTAATGAATAGCTTTAATGTGTTCTACCATGATTTAGCTGGTAATGCTAATATTTTGATATATGAATAATTATTAGTTAAGTTTGTTTTTAATATGTTTAAAATTTAAGCTATCCTTCACTTTTGATGAGTTGGTATGAGTGTACTTGTTAGTATTGCTGGTACTATAGTATGATATGCACTCTTTGTCAGTACAATGTTATATAATTGTCTTTGTGATAGTGTAGCTTTTTAAGTACTGTTACTGTTTTTAAACATTTTCTTATATTGTATAGTGAGATTCAGCAGATAAATGGGGGGTGAGTGTAACTGGTATGCTTATTATACCCTATACCATTTAGTATTTAGTCTGCTGAATCTGACCTTCTACCAGTGGGCAACCTTGTGTGACCCATTAGATTAAGACTTTGGATAATAAATAACCACACTAAACCAAGTGGCGGGAAAGGGTTAATGAATATTTAGTATATAATGTTACAGATTGGTCCAGTTCATAAATGGACAAGGGATATTATCTCTTCATGGGTTCTATTATAATTCCATTTTTACAATTAATTTAAGCTTTAAAATACTCATGTTACCTGTATAGCTTGATATATGACATACATCATTGTTCTGGGTACTGATCAATATAGTAAATGTAGATACCATCAGTCGGTATTAATTGTCATGGTTACCCAATTGAGAATGAATGACACTTAGCAGTGCCTAGCCCAGGGCGAAGGTTTTCATCTCCTTCCGACTGGTCACTAGGTAAGCATCTATGTTTTTATTTCTCTTGATTTTTGTTAATATTACATAGTACTACATTATTCGTAATTCTTAAGTTAAATAGTTGGATATATTGTAACTACCATTCTGTGAGTAATAAGTTTGGTTTCCAACAATCTCAATAATAATAGTTATTAGTATTGACGATTGATCTTAGGTTAATATGTTAAACGTTATGCTAG